CCGTCAGTATGAAAGGGGCCCAAGACAGTCATTTCAGAATTCCCATGACTCAGCTTCCAGCAAGGATTAACTGGAACAATACTAGAGGCAATTTACAACACACACTAATTCTGGTAGTATAATTATTAATGTGGAATGTATGTTTCTTGCTAAAGAACATTCTTTTTTTATCAGGCTGTTATGGGTAAAGTTCCACTTTAAGAAAAAAATTTCCCATTATATAAAACTTGAAGGAAAACAGAGTTGAGGGATTTACAAACAAAGATTTGAAACATGGTTCAGGCGTAGAGTTGAATGTAATAAAAAGGACTCCGGTTTTTGCCGTTACCTCAGCCAGCGCTGATAGACTCTGTACCCTGGACCTGGGTCACATATTGATTATGGGAAATACATCTCCTTCCAAGGGGCTGTCAGTGGTCAGGTTACACGGAAATAGAATACAAAATCAATGCACAAAATGGGATACATCTCTTGGCAATCAATATTTTGTACTGTACAGCCATGAATAAACCATCACATGGCCTGACTGCAAGGAGCGTGCTGTATAAAATGAATATGTAGATTATGCTGTGTTGTAGCCTTAATGAGAGCCATCAAGGTAACTCCTCACATTTCCAATTTAGTAAATAGTGTTACATTTGAAAACTCTAATCCAGTCACACAACTAATACAGACCAAGTTCTTATGCAGCTACAAATAACTGGAATATGCAGACCTTCGATGAGGTGAGCGACAGTTTTTCCTGCGCACGTTTAAGGCAGAAGTTTAAGCAGTATTTGATTATCAATTGTGAGATTGTAATTTGATATTTTTGAAGCTTTGAAGATGTCATTATAGATGAATTTTCCAAAAGATGATATACTTAGTGAATTATTATTTGAAACACAGTGGTCATTCTTACTGTATATACAAATGATACTGCATGGACAATTGGGTGTATGAATGTTAATCACACTTTGGTAAGTTATTCTTCTTTTTATGTGAGGCTGCATGTGTGTGTATGCATGTTTGTGCTGAGAGTGTGCTTAGCTTAAGAGACCGAGCTGTCACCGACAGCTCTCAGTGTTGTAGTGATGATCATTGGGAGCCGAGAGGGCCAGCTCTCGATCACAGGATCACTATAGTAGACTGAGATTGGCTATCCTGATGCAGCCTGCCCCTGTGTTTTTTCTCATCTTGAATGGAGAAAAACATGCATTGTATCTTTTTCTCCTTGATAGAGAAGATTGAAAACAAAAAAAAGTTGTGTAAAAAATAAAACAGCTGGATCTGGGTTTGAGCTAGGTTAGGATAAGGGTCAGTAGTAGTGAAAACTCGGCGATCACACTGATCACTGGAGTGCTGGGCTGTGGAGGGGGCAGGAGGGGCTGGCTCAGGCTGGCAGCAGATTGTTGAAAGGCTGAGCCAATTCCCAGTCCAGGCTTTTGGGTGGATCTCGACTGTATGTTCAGGAGCTTTTCAGAGCCTGGATTGGCTGAGTGACGTTAGCCGACAGTGAACATTAGCCCTTTGTTGGCTGAAAATGGGTCACAGGATCCATTGGACCCCTAGATCACCAGAATTAGTGTTCCCATTGGAAGATTTTCCCTCTATTACTTTTGTGGGACAACCCAAAATTTGGGATTTTCTTTTACTTTCACTTTAAAAAATAATGGTAAACATGACAAACAGGGTGAATCTCCCAAATGGGAGCACAGACAGCTATATTAACCTAATAGGTGTTCTAATCGACCTCCACTCTGTCCAAAACTAAAAAAAAGTTATACTTTAGTGTCAGTATGTTTTAGGTAGCATAAAAAAGCCAAATATGCATTTTTGTTTCTGGGTCCTACTACTTGTACACATTTGTGGTATTGCTGCGATCATCAGGAGCAGGAGAATTTGTTTTGGGTTGTTCTTTGGTGGTAGGATATGGTAATGGAAAGAAATATACAGCTAAATTTCAAATACAGTATTTGTTCACTATTTTGGGCCAGTTTTTTTTTCATAATAATAACAAATAAAATAGGAGATATTACTCTTTACCAAATGAAAGCCCAATTTTTTCTGAAAAAAAAAAAAAAGAACGTACATTTAATCTGCACACATGAAGTGGTTGTGATGGTTGCAAAATTTTGTTTATGCATTAAGATGTGATTTACCCTCCATCATGAAGGGGTTAAAGCGGTAGTAAACTTAAGAAAAAAAAAGAAGGATCCCCTGCAGGATAATGGCATAATGTATGCAATGGTATAATGGTACAATGTATGCATCTCATACTGAGGGGTGTTCAAGTCAAACCGAATCTTTTGAGTTTATATAATAAAAGAACAAATTTCAAGGAGTGGAAACTGCATTTATTATTTGACATACTCCCCTGCTACATTTATACACTTATCCCAGTGTTTAACTAATGCCTGGAAAACTTCAGCATAGAAAGATTTGTCAGTATGCCTGGATCATCCCAGGACAGCCTGCTTCACTTCATCATGCTTGTGTTTAACGCTCTCACAGAAAGATTTGTCTCTTATGCAGTTTCACGACAGATTATGCATCAGTTATATGGTCATCTTTGAAACGTTTACACTATTAAATGTCTTACTGCAGCCTACCGTCTCATCACCGTACTGTGCTTGACGTCTTCTGTAGATATCTGCAGGTTTTACACCTTAGTGTACAAGAAACTTCATCACCACACGCTGTTCCATGCACGCACTAACACTGTTGTCTGCCGTCTTGAGTAACGGTCTCTGGACTGGCCAGCGACGTGCACTGCCTATCAGTAATAGGACACACTTGCCACTTACTACTGCATGTAGTACCGCCACGCTAACATCCCTTTTTATACCTGTAAAATGAAAAGTCTCAGTTTGACTTGAATGCCCCTTGTACTTTCCTTAAAATGAAGCCCTCCAGTGACAAAGCCTCCATCTTTACCTGGTCTTCTTTCCAGGTTTGCGGGCTCTGGCTGTTTGAATGGCAGAACTGTGATGACGTCACACATGCGTGGACAGCATGCTGCCCATTGAGAGTACAGCGAGCATTCGCTGGTGACGTCACCAGCTGCTACTAAAGTAACTATCTCTTAAACAGTGCTTTTTATTAGATATTTCCTGTACCTATAGGTAAGCCTTATTATGGGCTTACCTGTAAGTACAAGTAAACAAGGGGGGCTTTACTACCACTTTAAGGGACCCAACATTTTTATCCATGCTATTTTCATTTTTTTTTTATTATTAAAAATATTCTGTCAAAAGCAAAAGTCTGATTTTTATTAAATATGGAACAATGGATGACATTACTTTGGCCAGTTTCAGGTTATTTCACAGAAAATTGTGGATTCTTTTTTCGTGGAAGGGTGCCAGCATATTTGTAGTATTAATATTATTAATTATTTACGGTAGTGGCTGTCAACCTAAGAGCTAAAATGGACCTCAAATGCAGCTTCTGACATCACTAAAGGGCCACACATAATGTTCAATATATGTAATACTTGAGAAGACTGTCAGTAACTGCAGACCTAATAGAGGATATGAGGGTCAGAGAGTGTGGACACATTTTTGGCTGGGGATATGCTGCAGAAGACAGTACAAAACTGGAAACATATTACATGAGACTCGTAGAGATCAATGCTATTACCCACCACAGATTGCTCAGGTCTGAGGACCGCACATCATACACCAAAGGGCCACAGGTTGGAAACCGGGGGATTACACTTTAAAATGATCTGAAACAATTTGGTTTGATTCATTCAGTTACATTTAGTTTAACCTTTGCTTACAATGATGTGACTACAACGTTTATCACTGTGTCAGTATACCATTGGCCTACATTGTAGACTCTGCTACAACCATTTTAGGCCCTGTCTCATACCTGAAGGCCACACAACTTTTTGCTCCAGGAATAGCCAATGTGTGGTGCACTAAACTTTGCTGTTTCCAGGGGCGAACTGACAACTCATGGGGCCCCCGTGTCCTTGCCCAAACTCAAAAAAGCCTATGAAAAGGGTACCAGGGGCATCTCATGGGGCCCCCTACTGACCCCAGGCCCCTTGGGCAGTGCCCGAGTTTCCAAATGGTCAGTCCGCCCCTGGATGTTTCCAATATTGTCTTTGGGAGGCTTTACTCAGGTAACAGTGGGATTCAGTTGTCCAGTTGACTTATGCCTTATACCAAGTCTGCAGTTATATGCAAAGAATTTGCCATTGAGCAGGGGATTCTTTATTGTTAAAGCAGTAAGGATGTGAAACTCCCTTCCACAATCAGTGGTGTCTGTTTCAAAAACCTCTTTGATGGGCATCTTAGTGAATACCATGTAAAAGGATATAAGAAATGATATTGGCTTAGACACACACATACACACACCCACCCACACAGGTTGAACTGGATGGACAGGTGTCTTTATTCAACCTTACCAACTTTGAGCTAGCAAAAGGCAAAAGATGGGCTTGAGAGTATCAGTTAGACTGGGTTGAGATCATACTGAGTATGGCCAGTTTTACAGGTAATTGGTGCAGGAGGTTGAGATAGAAAACCTGATTTACACAACCAATTACTAACAGTATAAGTGGCTTGTGCTATGCAAACTGATCTTATCTAACCTGAAGAAAATCTGACTTGTCATAAATATTTGTCCAAATGTTGCTCGATGTTCACTGGCATCAGATTTTTTTTTGGCATGTGTTCTCTTATGTGCCCGTTTATAATCAACCGTTGATAAGTTCCTCTCAACACGTTGTGTGATTTAGCAATTCAACATATCAGCAGTTTAACCTGTCTCATACCTGCATAACTGCTTGTATGGTGTATTGTTTTTGTGTTCTCAGCCTTTCACATAGTTGTGTAAGTGAAAAAAAAGTTGAAATTGATATCTTAAAGTTTCAATGTAACTAAAGTGTTATATATAAAATAAAGCTGCTAGTAATTATTGAGGCAATTATTAAAAATGATTCTATATCAGACTTGCTAAGCACATCTGACTCTCGCTCATGGTGACACTAACATTCCTTTTGTTTTTTGCAGGGAAATCCAAGTGGCCATGTGGAAAACCTAAGAGAGGAAGCCATGGAACCCACAAACCTTCCAAACAGGTGATACTTTTAGGGTTTATATCAGACCTGGACAAATTGTGACCCCCCCGGGCCACATCTGCCCTTTGGCTGTCCTTATCTGGCCCTCCATGCCTCCATTATCAGAGGCATGCTGACAGATGTCTGTGTGGAGAGCTGCAAGAACTGGAAGGAGAGAGTCTGATGAGCTGATCAGTATCAATGCTCTCCCGCCTCTCTGCTACCCAACCAAGTTCTTCCTGTGTTAGTGCCTGCATGCTACAAACTCCAGGAACCGTTCAGCTGTTCTTCATTCCAGGTCAGGATTTGCAGAAATCCCTGCTGTACCGATCTCAGGCTCTCCTTCTAGACACAGTGCTTTTCAGAGGGCAATTGAAAAGAGGAGAGGAGGTGTTATGCCTCCTCGCTGTATTAAAAAACCCTATAATACTGTACTACTGCTCTGCAATTCCATGCTCTATGTGTCTGAACTCAGCAATCACATGACCGCTGATCGCTGAGTTCTCACCACTGCTGTGAGCAGAGAGCGGTGACTGTCAGTCAACTGTCTGCTTTACCTACACTGTGCTCACTGGAGCGCTGGGCTGTGGAGGGGGAGGGAGTGGCTGTCTCAGCCTCTCAGCAGCTCACTGAGAGGCTGAGCCAGGTGCTGCTCTAGACTCTGGGATGGATACCGACTTTAAAGTCGGGATCCTTTCCCAGCCTGGACTGGCTGATTGACATCATCCGGCAGTGCGCTTCAGCCTGCTGTCAGCTGAAAATGGGTCACAGGAGTGCAGAACGTGCTGCACTCCTGTGATCCACTTAAGAAGTAGCGCCAACAGAGTTTTGGCTGTACTTCTCTAAGTTTGGCCCTCCACAACAGTCTGTTTCTTACGTGGTCCCTTGGGAAAATGAATCGCCCACCCCTGATTTATAATGTGCTAATGCAGTTATCAAAGTAAAGAATGACTCAGACTTATTGGGAGCACATTTCTAAAATATGGCCAAGTAGTTTTTTTGCACATTGCCTTATTTTTCTTTTTAAGTGTGTCTGCTTAGCAGTAGCTTATAAAAGTTTGACTTGGAATGTTATGATGCTAAAGGGTGCATTAGGAGAATGAGTTGAAAGGGAATGGATGTGGAGTACATGACACTGGCAATGTGTCAGACAGAACTAGGGAACTGGGAGATGATGGCAATGCCTTACATCATGACTATGTTTTATGAGCCAGCAACGCAGCCCAATTATATTGTATCTACACTGGGGACATTTTTGAGTAATTCCTGTCATGCCTATAAGAATGGAATTGTTAGGCTAGGTAGAGGGGATGAGCACTAGAGGGAGCTTTAACTCTGGAAATCATAACTGTGATTTGATCTAAGTAATCTGCTATATAATTTACTTCTGTAATTATGAACGTGTATGCATGAAAGTCAAACATCTGAGATTCTCTTACAGTTTATTTTGCAATAACTGGTTGGGTTTTTAAATGTATCCTTTCTAGCATTGTGTTCTCCTATTAATTCAGACTGATGTTCCCTCACATGATTCTGGTTTGCTGGGGATTTTCACACATTTATCTTTATTCTTACAAGGGTTAAATCTTATTTAGAGTGCAATAAACACAAAGCAGGGATTGCACGGCAGAAGTTATTTGCTGCGCTGGCATAACAAGGCCCCAGCTTTACTTAGCGGTGCATTAGTGAGCTCATCACTCATTCTTGCAACAGGAAGCCGGCACTGGGAGTTCTTTGGCTTGTTGATAGACTCATAATCTCAAGCAAGGAAGATTAATTGAAAAAAGAGGACTGTTTATGATATTTCTTGGGTGCCTGAGATAAGCACGTTTATTTTACAATCATTAATCCAAAAGGGATAAATCATTGCAACAGAAGTTTATTCACGAATCTCTTTAGGAAATGTTGACTTTGTGGAACAGAAACTTTGTCTTGGTAAATCTCTCAGTGATAATATCATAGGAGAAATCAAAGGGCTAATCTTGAAACATGATATGTGATTTGGATTATTTGCCTTAATTTTTTTAATTTGTTAAACTAAAATGCTATTATAAAACCTTAAATATTAAAATTTGTGCATCATTGACATTTTGAGTTTGTATTTTGGGTGTTAGAGGGATGCCATGTGTATAAATGTACGTGTCTGTGTCACAGATCTATTAGGGCTCATGCACACAGATGTATATAGGCACAAATGTCCTTTAGCTTAAAACGCCTAGTGTTTTTCTGCACCTAATTAGCCGCAGGTGGCTTATATACCCAGCCATGGACCCTTGTACTCATGTTCTGGAAATGTGTCATACATGAATTTGCTGGTAAATGCCAATGCACAAGAACACCTGCATTTACACATGTACACATGCCTAGAGTCATGCAATTCTGTGGCTGGCTGTACACACCACTTGTTGCCCCCAAAGGTTTCATGCTAGAGCTTCCTTACACACCCTGCTGTCTGTGTGCATGTACTTCTTCAATCAAGATTATCTGCATCTGCTGTTTTTGGAGTGTCACATCCAGCCCCCGCTGTATTTAAAGTAGAACTATAGGCAAAACTTTTTTTTTTTTCCATTTTGGATAGAGTAAGGCTGGCCATACATTATACAATTATCTGCAGATTTTCTGCCCAATTTCCTTTAGATTTACCTTCAACTATGTAGTGCAAGGGCCTGCCTAATTGGATACAACTGAAAGTGTTGTTTAGGTTTGTCCTCCTATTATATGGTTTTTGGTAAATCTAAACCAAAAATCTGCAGATAATTGTATAATGTATGGCCAGCCTAAGGGAGGGTTATGACGCCTGTCAGTTTATTTTTTTGCCATCTGTGTCCCATTGGGGAGATTTACCTTTACTTCCTGTCCCATAGCCAAAATGCGATGTGAGAGAAAATTCCTGCAAATTAAGGGAATTCCTTGGTGACCCCCAGGTCTCCAGAACTAGTGTCCCCATTGTAACATTTGCCATCTATTACTTTTCTGGTTGTCAACCCAAACTTTGGGGTTTCTTTTACTTTCACTTTCGATGATAATGGTGAACAGGACAAATAGGGTGACTCTTCCTAACAAGGACACAGACAACAATAAAAACTGACAGGTGTTATAATCACTCTCCACTCTATCCAAAACTAAAAAAAAAGCTTTTGTATCCATTTGAAGAAGACTGCAAAATAGTGGTGCCAATAAGCCATTGTAGGCCCTCTCTAGAACTCTCTTCTTCATGGCAAGCCCAGCTCTTCATCCAGTCTTAGCTGTAACCCTTCTCTGCCAAAAACTAGCTGATTAGGCAAAGTCCCTTTAAAGGGATATTGCCAATACTGTGGTTGATCTCATGGTCATACAATGTCTGGAGCAAATATTTGTAGCTTTAAACTCCAGTTTTGGTGGGCTACTGGAGGTTACCCTCCCCATCCCCGAAAGGTCTCTTGTCAGTAGCTGTGCGGAGGACACTTTGACTAAAGTGTTGGATTTCAGAACTTGCGTCCACATAGCATCTGATTCACATGCCCTTTAAGGGACAATGCCTATTCAGATCTACTTTGGATACCATTAAAAGGGATGCTACTGGTGGCAAGAGCAACCATATTTCCCACCTTCCTCTGTGGAGGAATCCTAAGCTAAAGAGGCTTTATGTGTCACCGGTATTTAGGAAAAGTCCCTTGCATTTCCCCACTCCCCCACTGCAACATCCATATTTTAACCCCCCCAGACTTGGCTCTCAGTCCATCCACAGGGCCTGGGCCCCAAAACTGTAAAACCCTCTGAAAAACCTTCCTCTGCATGAAGATGCGCCCTCACTTTCCTGTGTGCGTGTCCTAACCTTTAGAGACACTTAAATAGCTTTGATCTCAGTTTGGTGGATGTGGAAAAAAGGTTTCCAGGGGAGTTTTGTTCCCATCCTGCTCCTTGGTTTCTCACTTTCAACCTTTCTGTGTTACTGCTCAGGTCTTCTGGATCAAAGGTTCTTGTGGCAGAACGGTTTGAAGTTTTACTGCAGCCTGTTCGCAGTTCAAAAACCCAGATGGGATATCTCCTCTTTTAGGATCTAAAAGTCCACCAGGTTTGTCATCACCTTCTGCCACCAGACAGACTTACTGCCTTCTGAAGACATCGGGGATGCACACCTGCATGGCCCGATCTTTCCAGAACACCATTGTTTCCTACACTTTGCTGTTGGTACCCTGCACTTTCAGTTTTTGCCCTGTTATACGGCTTCTTGTCTGCACCTTAGGTGACCACCAAGGTGCTGGCCCCAGTATTATCCCTGCTGCGCTCTAGTGGCATCCACATTGTGGGATACTTATATGACCTCCTGTTGAGGGAGCAGTTAGCTCAGGCTCTGTTGGACAATGTGGCCCTGACTGTCCAGAAATTATAAGGGTTCAGCAGATGATCCTGAACCTTCAGGAATTGTTGCTGGAACTGACCCATTATTTGGATTATCTGAGTCTAGTTTAAGATGTAGCACAGAACAGAGTTTCACTCCTTCAGGAGAAACTTAAAACTCTCCAATCCCAAATTCATGTTCTGCAGTTCAAGAGTCATCCACCACTACTTTTGCATGAGAGTTCTGGGTCTGATGGTAAACTTTTCTGAGGCGGGCCCATTTGGCCAGTTTTACTGCAACGTGATATGTTGTTGTTGTGGGGCAAGTCTGTACAGTCTCTAGCATGATGGTTCAGGAATCCAATTGTGGAATCATCCAAAGACCTTTCTGTCTTTGAAAGTTTACCATGACAGAGGCTACCCTTTTGGGCTGCAGAGGAGTCTGGAGTACCCTGTTGGTGCAGGGGACTTGATTGTTGGAGGAATCTTTTCTTCAAGTCAACATTCTGGAGCTATTCATGATCTGGCTGTTTGTGCAGCATTGGACCATCTTACTGGAGGGTAATCTGATCTGGATGCAGTTGGACAACACCACGACAGTGGCATACATCGGTTATGAGGGAGAAGCATAAAGTCTTACTTTGGTAAGGGAGAGGTACAGCGGACCCTGTCCCAGTCGTAGACAATTGTCAGGCCTATTTCCTCCGCTTTGCAGTGTCTGGACCAGAGGGAATTTCCCCTACACCTGAAGGTGTTTCTGGACCTGTTTCACAGGTGAGGGATGCCAAATGTTGAACCTTCAAACTGGACAGGGTTTTCTTTTGATATAGGGTCCTTTAATGGAATCAGTGGATGTTCTGGTGCCTTCGTGAAATCAGTACACCCTGACCTAATACTTTCATCCACTGAAACTTCTACATTTGCTTTGCAGGATCAAGATGGAGGACATTTCATGATGCTCCAGGCATATGTGATATGCTGACCTGGTAAGACATCTAGCAGATGCTCCACAGGCTCTTCCAGATCATTCTCTCTTTTGATTCAAGGTCCAATTAAGCATCCTGCCTCTGAATTGCTGTTTTTAATAACCCAAGTTGTGGAAGATGGGGACATTTCAAAATCCATAATTACCACAATGTTAGTTAGGAAGTCTACTTTCTTTGTATTTGGCTGTTGAAGGTATACTTCATTTGGTTTGAGTCTTGGGACTTCCGTCTTAAGAGATTCTTTGTGGGAAAAAGCCTCTCCTTCCTAAAGCTGGGACTCCTCTTTCTATCTTGTGTCAAAGACCGATGACCTTTTATTCCCTGATTAAGACATTTGTACATGAAGTCTTCCTTATCACTCCCCCTGTTTGTGTGGGATCTGAATCTGTTTCTCTCTGTGCCTCTGAAACTGCTGTTTGGATCCATTAGAGACATTGCTCTCTACTTTCACCAACCAGATTCCCTTTTTCTCACCCTGAATGTTCCCCATAAGGGTGCACACCATTCCACCATCTTTAGATGGCTCAGACAAACCATCATCAAAGCCTATGTTCTGTGGTTCTGGTTTTTTTTTTTGCATCTGATATCTTTTGTTCTCTATATTACTGCTCAGTTGTACTGCTTTTAGTCCGGAAAGTGAATGACTTTTTTTTGTCTCTCAAAGGAAAAGGAAGAAAATATTAATTTTTTACTCCCTTTAAAATCCCTGCAGTCTATTGAGGGGCACAGTTCCCATTCCTCTGTGTTTATGATCATGTTCTCTGTAACAAAACTGAGGCACACTGGGCTGGCCTACAGTTGTTTTGTTTGTCAGTGTCCAATGCTGTAGGCAGTAGTATAACCCAAAAGTAAATTACTTACTGTGTTCCTCAGTTGCCTTCAAGAAAATGATTTTATGATGAGTCATTTTTTATTTATATTTACTGCTAGTTCCCTCACCCTCCAAACATAACTGGTTTAGAAAACCTTAAAAAATAAAGATTTTACCAAAAAAAGATAAATGTTACCTCTTCTCTCTATTCAGATCCTACTGGAGAGCTGGGTGACGTCGTTATGCCTCTGAGTGTTTGAAATCCCATGAGAATGTCTTCCTGCAGTTAGCAGGAGGGCATTGTCATAGAATTGCTAGTGCCCAGCTTTTCCAGGAGGTAGTAGTGACGCAAAGCGGTGTTAGTGTTGTTAAGACAAGGCCAAGGTAAGTAATTTATCTTTTTCTTTGGCAATGCCTTATTCTAAAGATTTTTTTAAGCTAATTCTATCTAGAGGTTGGGGGGCTGCTTTAGTATTACAGCGCATCAGTAGACAAGTTCACAGTTGCTATTGGTAGTGTGTTGGGTGGTAGCCTCTTGTTATATAATTCTTTGCAGTGCAACATACTGCACAGTATATATGTTCACAACTGCAATAGGCTCAGAGAGAGGGAAGAACCAGAAATCAGAACAAAAAACTGCCAGTAACTACTTGGATTTTGCCAATGAGCAGAAAATTAAATATCAAGATGAATATACTGTGTCTCATTTATTTTATATGGAAAAAAAATTCATGTTTGACTGAATAACCTGTATTTAACCTTTTCACCAGGTTAGGCTTCTAAATGTTAATCCTTATCTGAAAACGTCAAAGTTGATAAGAATCTGACACTTCTGAGAGTATCATTTCTTACCAATTGCCAACCGTCCCCCTAGCTATCTGTAAGTAGCTCCCATTGGCCTGCCTGCTGAAGGTCTGTGGGTGAGTCTTTGCTGGGAGTCGCAGTCACTACCACATACCTAATTCTACTACTAATTACTGTGTTATCACGTGGTCATTATAGCATTCCAAAACCTCTCTGGAGAAGTTTTTACAGTACTTCCTTTACAGCTGAGTGAAAGTGGCTCCCATTGTCAGCTTCAGTGCTTTTCTGGGAGTTGTGACTTCAGACGTGTAGGGGGAGGTGGGATGGTTAGTAAGCTTTGATGCACCTGTAGGTCCCAGATGTCCTCCTATTAACAGAACATGCAAATCAGAAATTTATCAGGTGCAGTTGAACCTTAGTTTAATACAACATTTTTTGAGACGTAGAAGGATATTTTAAGGATATTGCATTGTAAGTCAACTACTCAGCCCACATTCACCCTGTACAGCAAATTCCTAAGAGGACCTCAAAACCGAAAGTTTACTCTGCCCAGAACCTCTCTGACTCCTCATTTTGCATGTCTGGTCATAGAAAACAGTGTCTGTCTCTGTCTGTACCTGGGATGATCAATATTCTTTTGGGCCAAACATGGGGCATTTACTGGTTCCTTTTAGTTTTGTGGGTTATTTTAAGGTAATTGTGTCAATGTATAAAAGTTCTGTATTTAATAGTGGCTGAATTATCTTAGTATATAGGATACCTAACGTTTAAGATTCAGCGAAATACACATTTAGTTTCCATAATTCTGGGCTCATTGTGTATGTTTTTTGCAGAACAATTCCTTGCATTGCAAACTGAATGCTGGCTCCACAGCAGACAAAATCCAGGACAAAAGCCCAACCAAAACAAGGCTACCTCGGAAAGTTGACCTACGAGCAAGATACTGGGCATTCCTATTTGACAATCTCAGGAGAGCTGTGGATGAAATTTATGTGACATGCGAATCAGACCAAAGTGTTGTTGAATGCAAGGTAAGACATATGACATATGAGCTGTGCCCTCCATGTATAGGGATGCTAGCTAATGGCTTTTGTATGTGTTTGTGGGATTTTAAATTGACTAGTTCTCTTTCCTTTTTTTTTTTTTAATTTTTTTTTTGAAGTTTTTGAAAAGGACAGGAAGACAAACACAGACCCACCACCTTATTACATAGATAAAAGTCATAGAAATGTTCTTTAACTACTTCCCTCCCAGCCTATAGTGAAATGACAGCCGGGCGAACCCCTTGTCCCTCCGGTAGGGCATCATAAGACGTCCTTCCCGGATCACGCTTTGCGCGTGCCTACAGGGCTGCGCTGTGCCAAGATCTGTCATTGGCTGTGTACCTCAGACACGGCCAATGACAGATCTGTGTACCGACCTCGTTGCCAGTATCATGTGACCTGCTGTGACCAATCACAGCAGGTCACATGACAGCTGTATACAATGGATGGCTTCCTTTCAAGTGTGTCTAGCTGTGAATGGTCACAGTGATCACATGCACAGGCTGGGCCATTCACAGCCCATCTGTGTCATGTGCTTACCCATGGCCAATCACAGTTAATCACAACAAAAACGGAATTAATCGATTTCATTCAGTTAAATACTTGCTTATAGCAAATAAATTATTTGCTATAAGCAATCAAATTGTGTAAAAAAAAAAAATAAAAAATAATGATCACTTCCCCAAAGTAGTACAATGTTACTAAGGTAACATTATACTACTTTGGTCATAGTGTAATATGAAAACAAAATCTTAAAAAGAGAGCGTGAACCCTCTCACTCACCAACTCTATTTAAAAGAACTTTCTTTTCATTTCTTGTTCTTCGAGGGTGAAGTTTTAACACGGGCATGTGCTGTAGTTTTTAGTTATTTATTTATTTCAGGTACTTATATAGCGCCGTCAATTTGCGCAGTACTTTACATATATATTGTACATTCACATCAGTCCCTAACCCTCAAGGGGCGTACAATCTAAGGTCCCTAACTCATATTCATACATACACATACTAGGGCCAATTTAGACAGGATCCAATTCACCTACCAGCATGTCTTTGGAGTGTGGGAGGAAACCCACGCAGGCACAGGGAGAACATGCAAACTCAAGGCAGGTGGTGCCGTGCCTGGGATTCGAACCAACGACCCTAGTACTGCCAGGCGAAAGTGCTAACCATTTATCCACTGTGCTGTCCTCAGTTTTTTTCAAACTTTTTTCGTTCAATCCCAATACTAATGTTTAGAAAATCGATTGAACTTTGCATTTCGAGAATTGAAATTAGGCCACTCACATTTCGAAAGTTGAACGATCAAGCTTATCAAATGCTTTTTCCAACAATTTTTTACCTGTGTATGGCCAGCATTAGTCACTATCGTTCTCTGGATATTTCTTTTTGTGTCATTCTTATCTATCTAACTGTAGATGGCACTGTTGCAACTCATCTGTATGATATTTTGCTTGGCTTGTTTATTATTCATTGTCCCTAAAATGGGTATAAGGTATAACTGAAGTCATGAGATTACGTTTCATATTATTAAAGTGACACTTATCTGTCTTACTAAAAGAAGATTGCAGATTTTATCTTTATTATTTTCAATTGCTCATTCTAGTAAATCCTGTTATAGGTTTCTGGTTCCCGTGCTATATCTTGGCTATACTATTCCTGGAACAATTTTTTTGTGTGCCGTTATAGTATGTACACATGCCTCTAATTTAGTCAAATTACGTCAGTGCTCTGTAAAGGTTATAAAAGTGCGTGAGGTATTTCCTTGAAGTTTGTGTTTTTCTTAAAAGCTAACGTCTTGTGTTTCAATTTTTTTGTAAATTTATTTTTTGTGTGTATATCAGTTTGACCTTCACAAACAATTCAGTAAAGAGCTTACTCTGCTTCTTCCATAAAGGTCCCTGCTTGGTGTGTATTCTGTAGTGAGTATGATTTCCATTGCTTCAGCACAGGAGTTTAATCTGCAGCTAGAAGCATTGTAGGTGAACAAGAGAGCAGTATTGATGTGCTGGGCCCTGGGGTCCTAGCGTCCTGGTATAGAGTGTCATCAGGACAAAGAGATGGCGCCAACAGTCCTGCCGTGCACGCCAGTGACTAGAATTAATTACAAACCAATCGAATCCGTTGCAGCCAATTGGTAAACTAATTGGTAACTTTAGCCGGGCATCCAGCTCTGGTGATCCGGTATGGGGGAGGGAGTATCCTGTGAGACACTTTTGTCCAGCTGCGGGTGAGATGTCCGGAGAGAGATGTGCATGAGTGAAGATGAAGCCCCCGCTGCTGCTTGTCCTGTTTATATTCCCTTGTTCGGAAAACATGGCTCTTATTACAGCTCACATGGCATGAAGTCTGATCAACTTGATAAGGTGAACTGAGCCTTCCTTCAAGCAGGTACCTGCCAGAGGGGATGATTACTCATGTACTAAGAGATGGGGCTATACTACTGCAAATGAGAGCTAATTGCAGTGCTGTAATGGGGGAAATGTCTGGATGATAGCTGGGCAGAAAATGGGAGCACAAAATCATCAGCATGATACATGAAGTACAAGCTGGGCCTCAGGAGAATGGAGTGAGATTACAGTACCTGTCATTTGCATCACAATACCCAGTTTAATATCCTCATATAACTTCTTTCAGAGTCATAGTGATTAAGCAGTGGAGAAAGTTTCCAAGACTGACTAGAGTGCAACAGTTTTTTTTTAAAAAACACAAATTTATCTATATTGATCAAAACAATAATTACACAATATTGCAAACAAGTAATTTTGCTGTATTCCAAAAAATATGTTGCTTACATTGGAAATACTGTAAATTCATCTATTTCCAAGAGAAGAGCTCTATAGTGTCCATTATTTTCTGTGGCATACCACTTCAAAATATTCTGCTGATTCATGAATGGAGCAATAGCCAGAAGTAGCAGAATAAACATCATCTGTCCTCACTCTGCAGCTTGTTTAACTTTGTGGAGCTACACAGTGTAGGAGCAATCTGTCCTTATAACATTGTTATTGTACACTATTACATCTTCCTTCTCTTCATGTATGCAAAGAGATCAAAGTACATAGACAAATAAAAATGTAAAAATGAACAGTATCCTTCTTTTATTGATATAATAATTGAAGAAGATCAGGCTGTTACTCAGTAGAAGCTAATTATTTATATTTCATATGGGGAGTCAGCTAAGCTTTCAAATGTACATACCTGTTAAAGTAACACTAAACTTTGGTTTAAAAAATATATATTCTATTTATGTGTTTTTAATTCAAAAACGTACCTTCTATTGCTTTCGGCCTCCTCCAGATTCCTGTTTTTTGCTGCTGTGGTCTGACTTCCTGTTAGATGGTGGCTACATTCATTCTTCATGGTCCCACTGTATGGTAGGAGCTCAGCCACCTTCTTTTTCTCACTCTCAAGATGGAGTATGTGGTATGTGTAGTCAGCACAGAATAGTGCACATCATCACAACTAACGTGCACTGCTTGTTCCAAACAAATGGAAGTGCGAAGAAAAAGGTGAGGTCTGGGAGCTATCATAGGATGTAATAAGGTGGCAGAAAAACAGATCACAGGGCCATGAAATAGTGGATGTTTATGATTTATTTTTTTAAGATAAGGATATTGTTAGTGTTCTTTTAACTAGGTCAAAATGTTATCATAATGCTGATTCGCAGCCCACAAAAAAGTCTAGGAGCTCATCGGTTGCCAGGTGGGTTAGCACTACTATTAAAAAAATATGTTGCACAATAAACTGTATATTACATTGTGGTGTAAGTGATACATTCTTTATTGGATCGTGAAGTATTAAAAGACTACTGATAGTAGGTAGTGTTATACCATTCATAAGGGATAATCTTTACAGTCAAATGAACATATATTACCATATTCATTTGCTAATTGTATCTTGTATGTAAAGTAGTCGATTGCCTTAGCCACTGGTTTGAATTTTTTTTATTGTGTTCCACTGTTTAATTGTCCCCCCTTCCCTAGCCACCCCCATTTCTATGATTAGTTCAATCAAGGTAAAACATGTAATAGATTGGTGTGGCTATGGGCAAAGACTCTTAGCAGACAAACCTAGAATAACATTTTTTTTCCTAAAAGTGATGCCATCAGTGTGTGGCTGTTTGCTATATTGATATTGCTGGGCTATGGAGTAAAGGCAGACACCCACAGCCGACACTTGTCATTTCCATACCAAGGAGGAAACAGTGTCATTCAATAGAGTCTAGAGCATCATCCAATAGAGTGAATATCTTACACATTCTTTTGAATTGTTTAGCCTGGACTTCAAGCACAAATAAATGAATTTAAATGTATTCCTCAATAGTCACAAAGTATTTAATTTCAATTCGTGTGCACAGGTGCCTTTGCAGACCCAGTTATCACCTTGCAGTAATAATGGTGACATCATAACTGTACCAGCTGTGATTAATACAACAACATATGCAAGAGGCCACCTGTCTTCAGAGTGTTGTGTCTGATTGAATGGAATATGATAGGCGCACAGGACAATCCAAAGCATTGCGCGTTACCACCAGGGAAGACTTTCATTTTGTTCCACAACATGGCCACTTGTCATTTTTGTTTCTTTTTCGGACATTTCCCTTTTAAAAGATGAACTCCATTGTGTCTACATAACACATTCCCTCCTACTTTTGTGAAATCTGCTACTCTTTTATGTTGGCCTCTTGCCTTTTCCTACAAGGTGCATTCATTTTGTAAGCCCCAAGGAGCAGGGCCCTCCTAACCCTCTTGTATTGAACTGTATTGTTGCTGTATTGTCTCCCATTATATTGTAAAGCGCTGAGCAAACTGTAGGCGCTATATAAATCCTGTAGTATAATAATAATAATAATTTTAATCTGTGTTCCTGTGTCTCCTTCTCTGCATGTCTATGTAGACCTGAGCCAGAAAAAAACACAATGCATTTGGAGCACTACTTGTGCTGCTTGTGTTAGAGGGTTGTTGCATGTTGTTTCTTTTTTTATCCTTTCTTGTGTGTTGGCAAAATGAATTTACTATGTTTAAAGCTGAACCCAGGCATGTCAACCCCAAAGCCTGCCCACCTATATTTCATTTTTTTTTTTTTTTAAAACCCTACGCATTCTTTTTTTCTTCAAGTCTTCTTGACAGTCCAGTGATATCACTGCAGATTTTTTCCCTTCTTATTCCCTTAGTGGTGGGGGTGGGCATTCCTCTAGGATTGAACGGCAACTCATGTAATCAGTTTAGCTGTGCGGGGCTCCAATTTGTGAATGAATAAACTACAAGTCCCACCTACCATTGCAGTAGACAGACTTATAGTTCTCAATGGACTAAGAGTGCAGTAATCTTTCCTAATGGTGAACCTAGCCTTTAATGTAACAGATGTTGACACAACTCCAGGATGTAACTAAGACCCGTGCACTGCAAGGGTTGAACACTCATTAACTCTACGGGGTAGAAGAAGCGGTTGTATTGCTGCCCTTACCCCTTGCACTAGAAGGATCTAAGGGTTTCCTATTTTCTTCTCTGCGCAGGGCAGTCCTTTGGCAACATCATGTTAAGATTAGTGTTTACAAACATCATACACAAGTTAAACTGCCAGCTCAGCTTGGTGTGCCTTGTAGAATTCTATTCAATGTTAATGGTGCATTTGTGTACTCCAACTCCAGAAGAACTTCACCAAACGCTTTCTACTTTAGTCCAGTCCCAGACTGTTGCCTGCACTACCTACATTTATTCTGCCACACACCAAAGAGCTCAACTACAAGCTGTTTTTCACCACCCCTCGAAGTTTCTTTAAAAAGCTTTGGTGCTACAAATATGTGCAATTATATTAATTACTGAAGTGACCAAGAAATGAATGTCTCCTTACGTTCAGCACGTCACACTCCAAGCCTGAAACAATTAGCCTTTGCATGCAGAAAAGGAGGTATACTTTAATTATTAGCAGTTATTTTCCTGTATGTGGAAAAATCCACATAACCAGATATAGTGCTTTTTGTTCTGGCTACTGCTGTGTTTTAATAGGCAAACTATTGATAATGTAGATAAAAGAATGGGGTATACCTATTGATGATTTCTTTTTGTTTGTTCAGGAAGTACTAATGATGTTGGATAACTATGTGAGAGATTTCAAGGCTCTCATTGACTGGATTCAACTTCAAGAAAAGCTGGAGAAGACTGATGCGCAGAGCAGGTAAACACTTTGAGGTCTACTGTGCTGGTGTCTGCTAATAATATTCTTATACTCTTTTGTGTGGGGCAAATAACAATAATAAAAAATTACCTTTAAAAAAAAAATAATATATTGATAATTATTTTGATTATAATTATACTGATACTTATTATATTACATATCTTATATTACATACAATTATAGATATGTGGTTAGTTTTCTTCTACCTGTATTCTCTTTCATCTTCTTTTACAATGGGTGTAGTAACAGTGACAAAACAGCAGTGTATCATTGCTTTTCTACTCCCTGTTAAAATCTTTCATCTGAGCACTTTTATAAAAAATGGAGTCAACTAGGGAAAAAACACATGCTGTTTAGTGAGTATGTAAATGGCTATCCTCCTTTTCAACTGGACAAAACAGTAGTATTACTGCAAATACAAACTAATGCTTAAAAACTGGACCAAAAGCATATTTTTGAAATATTTCTGGTAAGTTTCTTCTAATTAGGTCTTCTTTTCTGATCTGTATTCTGCCAAAAGGACTGTCTCTTGTGGACATACCTTGACACTTCTGTGACATTGTGCTGTTTGTAATATGACAAAATCCTTTTGTCATTTACACAGAATTGTGCATGCTTGGGAGGATACGATTTGAATGTTTAGTGCTATCCTTAGTAATGCAGATTTTATTTTAACCCATGAGTTTTATTTTGCAGGCCTACCTCTTTGGCTTGGGAAGTGAAGAAAATGTCTCCTGGACGACACGTTTTGCCTAGCCCATCTTCTGATAGAGTGAGCTCGACTTCTAGTGCAAGGAGGGCACTCAATTTTGGGTATGAGAATGCATTGTCTATAACTCCAGAGTATGGACAACAAAATTTGATGCATGTAGTGTTTTTGATTAAAGTGATACTAAAATCTAGTTTTTTTTTTTAAAATAACAAACATGTCGTGCTTACCTGCTTTGTGTAGTGGTTTTGCACAGAGTAGCCCAGATCCTCCTCTTCTGGGATCCCCCCTCTGGCACTCCTGGCCTTTCTTTCCTGTCGAGTGCACACACAGCAAGCAGCTTGCTATAGCGGCACCTGAGCAGGAACACTCCCGAGCTATTCACACACTGCCCTGCCCCATCCCTCTCTTGATTGGCTCACTGGCTGTGATTGACAGCAGCGGGTTACCCCTTTGTTTGCATTTCTGGTTACAGCTATATAAAATGTCTTTAATAGATTTATTCTGGCTGTTCCTTAAGATATTACGTTTAGCACACGATCTTATATGCTTTACCCTTTATCAGTCTACAAAATATTATCCCTAAAACAGAAATTAGGCTTACAGGTCTATAGTTTCTGATTGAAAACTTTTTACCTTCTTAAATATAAGTTCCACATTTGCTTTACTGCAATCTGTTTACATAGGTTAGCTGGGGAGTGAGGGTTCCAATAAGCTGGTCTCTAAAATGGGAAGTAATGGCTTGTAAGTAACTATTCTGAACTATTTGAGTATGTGGGGATGTAAGTCATGTGGCCCAGATATTTTATTCACAGTTGTTTGTGTAAGTGTTTATTTGACAATATTCAGCCACTTTGGTGCATTTAAATTGTGTTGATGCCATCCTAATAATTTACTTCAATACCACCCATACTTTTTCATTGTGTACACAAAGCTAAAGAAGATACTTAAAATGTAACTAAGCTGCATCTGAGCATCACAAACTGAAAATGCCTTTGTTATATTCACAACAAAGTCATCCTTCCATCCATGTATCCAAGCTTTATTTTGTTGAGAAATCATTTTGAAAAACACCCCCTCGCATTTCTAACCACAGCCATCTTGAGTATGGGCACATGATTCATGTAGCGTTTATTTCCTGCAATCCACCTGCCCTTGGGTTAAGCATGCAGGTAGGAGGGTATGCGTAGCTGAGAAAGTCCCTCGTCCCCTCTTCCAGATGAAAGAAAGAAAAAATACTGATGAAGACTCATGGGGTGTGTGATATGTTTTTGGCCTAGGCCAGAAACCAGGAAGCAACTGAAGAAGTTAAAAAAAATATATATACCTTCCTATCTATTTACAATGCTAGAAGCATGCTTAGACTTAGTATTTTACTGATTATTTATTGTACGCACAATATATAAACACCAATCAGCCATAGCATTAAGATTACTGACAGGTAAAGTAAATAACATTGATTATCTTGTTACAATGGCATCTGAAAGTTGGTGCGATATATTGGGCAGCAAGTAAACATTTTGTCCCCAAGTTAGTGTGTTGAAAGCAGAAAAAATGTGCATCTCAGTTTGTTGTGTATGGGGCTGCATAGCCACAGACAGGTCAGGGTGCTCACACTGACCCGTGTCAAGAACCAAAAGCACATGCAATGGGCACATAAACATCAGAATTGGACCACGGAGCAATGGAAGAAGGTGTCCTGGTCTGATGAATCATGTTTTCTTTTACATCATGTGGATGGCAGGGAGCATGTCTTTTCCTTACCTGGGGAAGAAATGACACCAGGATGCAGTAAAGGAAGAAAGCGAATTGAAAGAGGCAGTGTAATGCTTTGGAAAATGTTCTGCTAGGAAATCTTGGCCCTGCCAATTATGTGGATGCTACTTAGACATGTACCACCTACCATTTGTTGCTGACCAAGTATACCTCTTCATGGAATTTGTATGCCCTGATGACATTGGCGTCTTTCAGCAAGATAATGCACTCTACCACACTGCAAAAATAGTTAAAGAATGGCTTGAGGAACACAAGCTTGAGGTGTTGACCTGGCCCCCAAATTCTCCAGATCCCAATCGAGTATCTGTGGGATGTGCTTGAAAAACAAGACGGATCAATTGAGGCCCCAGCTCGTAACTTGCAGGACTTAAAGGCTTTTCGACAATGTACTATACTGTATATATGTCAGCTGTTTCTCACCTACACATGAGTGGCATAAATTTAGTTGGTGGTCTGGACAAGCAGTTTTGTTTGTTCTAAACTATGGACTTGCTGTACAAAAACCTTCTGCATTGAAAATGTTTACTGTCTTGCTGATTAAAAGTGAGGGACAAACGTGCTTGCACTGTTCTTTGGTGTCTCCCTGTCCAGTGGATGGTTTAACATTGCAAGCACCAGTTGATACCATCCCTCTTTCAAATGTATTATGGTTGCAATGCCTCCTGTATAAGGATATTACAATGGTGCCAGTGGTCCATCATTGCCATTGTTAGCTTCACGGCCCTCCAAACTGGTGTCTTATTTTTCGTTGTTCACAGCCAGGCATCTTGCAGCAGCACCTTGCTTTATTCAGAGATTACTTTTCAGGAATCCTGGTGATATGTTGAGCTTGAAGAACATACTGCAAATAATTAGGTTAATTGACAACAGGTCAGTAACATAATTGGGTAATTAAAGGGCTTAGAAGGTCAGAGTGTCTCAGAAGTGAAGATGGGCAGAGGTTAATCAAACTGTGAGAAGCTGTTTCTAAAAATTGTTCAGCAACTTCAGAATAATGTTCTTTAATGTAAAATTGCAATAATTTTAAATAACAATCTACAGTACATAACATCATCAAAAGATTCCCAGAATCTGGAGAAATCTTTGTGCGCAAGGGACAAGGCCGAACTACAATATTGGATGCCTGTGATCTTTAGGCGCTTAGATGGCACTGCATTAAAAACAGGCATGATTCTGTGATGGACATCACTGCATGGACTCAGGAATATTTCCTGAAATCACGGTCTGTGAAGACGGTTCGCTGTGCCATCCAAAAAAAGCAAGTTAAATATCTATCATGCAAAGAAGAAGCCATATCTAAACATGATCCAGAATGCGCTGTCTTCTCTGAGCCAAAGCTCATTTAAACGGTCTGTTGCAAAGTGGAAAACTGTTCTGTGATCAGACATTTGAAATGTAAAATATTTTTTTGCAACCATGGGCACCGCATCCTCCAGACTAAAGAGGAGAGGGACCTTCTGGCTTGTTGTCAGCGCTCAGTGCATAAGTGCTTATGGAATGGGCAGTTTTCACATCTGGAAAGGAACCATCAGTGCTGAAAGATATATCCAAGTTTTAGAGCAGCATATACTCAGGCAAGAATGGAATAACATTCCTCTCCCAAAACTCCAGCAACTGATCTCCTCAGTTTCTAGACATTTACAGAGTCTTGTTAAAAACAGAGGGGATGCTACACTATGGTAAACATGGCACTGTCCCAACTTTTTAGGAATTGGGGTTGTACTTTGCCAATGTTTTGTTGCCCTGTTCCCCAACTTTTTTTTAAATGTGTTGCTGCCATGAATTTCAAAATTACTTTTTCTCAGTATGTTCTTTCAAATGACAAGGTGTACATTATCCTGGCACCATAAATGCTTAGAGATTCTGGCAGTTTGCTTCCTCTTTTCCAGTGGCTGTGAAGGCAGTGATCTTGTTTTCTTAATTATTATTGTTATAATACAGGATTTATACTGTATAGCTCCAACAGTTTGCGCAGCGCTTTACAAAATGAAGGCAGACATTACAGTTACATTACAATTTGGTACAAGAGGAAGCAGAGGGCCCTGCTCATTAGAGCTTACAATCTAGGAGGAAGGGTTGAGTGATACAAAAGGTAATAGCTGTGGGGGGTAAGCTGATGGAAGGAATAAAAGGCAGTTTACTAGTTAGAAGCAGGATAGGCTTCTTTAAAGAGGTTTTCAGGGATCGTCTAAAGGTGGATAGATTAGGAGATAGCCGGACAGATTAGGGTAGTGAGTTCCATAGGATGGGAGAAGCTCGGGAGAAGTCCTGGAGGCGCATGGCAGGAGGTGATACAGGAACTAGAGAGCAGAAGGTCTTAGGAAGATCGAAGAGAGCAGTTTGGTTGATATTTTGAGACCAGATTGGTGATGTAGCTTGGGGAAGAGCTGTGGATGGCTTTGTAAGTTGTTGTTAGTATTTTGAATTTTATTCGTTGGGCGAATGGAAGCCAGTGGATTGATTGGCAGAGAGGGGTAGCAGACACTGAACGGTTGTTCAGGTGGATGAGCCTGCCAGCAGCATTCATGATGGACTGGAGGGGGATAGCCTATGTAAAGCTAAGCCAATGAGGAGGGAGTTGCAGTAATTGAGGCAAGAGATAACCAGGGAGTGAGTTAAGAGCTTTGTGGCATCATTGGTTAAAAAGGGGCATATTCTGGAGATGTTGCGGAGGTTGAGGTGGTATGATTTGGACAGGGATTGGATGTGGGCCTGAAAGGATAGTTCAGAGTCCAGGGTTACCCCTAGCACCCTGGCATGCAGGGATGGGTTGATAGTGGTGCTATTGATCCTGATCAAGAAATCATAGAAAGAGGCACATGGGGGAGGAAAATATTATGAGCTCAGTTTTGGATAGATTGAGTTTTAGGAAGTGGTGTGACATCCAGTCAGACATGTCTTAGTAAATCGGTGATACGTGAGGAAACTGATGGGGTGAGCTTAAATAATTAACTGATGTTTTAAGGCAGGGGTCTCCATATTTTCTAAGCAAAGGTACAGTTTACGGATCGAAGGTCTGGATTGTGACCAGTAGGAGTATAAAATACTTAGATTTGGTGATCACTGGGGGTAAAAGAGTTACGTAATGCCCATGGGCAGTAGGAGAAGGAATAGTGCCCCATCATTGGTAGTAGTGGGAAGAATAATCTCCAGCATTGGTGTCAGTGGGAGGAATTGTGTCTCATCGTTGGTGTCATTGGGAGGAATTGTGCCCTATCGTTGCTATCAGTGGGAGCAATAGTGCCCCATCTGTGGTGTCAGTGGGAGGAATAGTGCCCCGTCATTGGTATTAATGGGAAGAATATTCCTTATCTGTGGTGTCAGTGGGAGTAATAGTGCCCCATCATTGGTATTAGTGGGAATAATAATCCTCATCATTGGTGTCAGTGGGAGGAATAGCACCATATCATTGGTATTAATGAGAAGAATACCGCTCCATCATTAACATTAGTTGAAGGAATAGTGGGAAGAATAATCCCCATCATTGGTGTCAGTGGGAGGAATAGTGCTCCGTCTATGGTGTCAGTGGGGTGAATAATGCCTTATCATTGCTGTTAGTGGGATGAATAGTGCACGATTGTTGGTATTACTGAGAGAAATAGTGACTTGCATCACTATGAATAGTGCCCTAAGGATCGGATAAAGGCAAGCAAAGAGCCACATTTGGCTTGTGGGCCACAGTTTGGAGACCACTGGTTTAGGAATACAGAACTCTGAATAATTCTCACTCAGTTTTTTTAAGGTTTAGAAAAATATTATATATTATATTTCTTAGATTATAAAACCTCTTTATTTCTACTAATATGTCTATAAAATTGTAAGCCTTTTTTACGAGAAGCATATGTTACTGTAATAATGTGGAAGACTTTATTTTATTTCCAGGGGACCTCCTCTCAGTATTACACCCGGGCGTCTGACTCCATCGGGTGTCAGTTGGGCTGATAAAGTGAAAGCCAGTCATGGAAATTCTACAAATAATCAACCTACGGAGATTGTGCCTCCATGTTCAGCAGTGCCTATACAGAAAGCCCTTCATGAAAATGGTAAAAATATAAAGCTGCCTTCTATGAAATTCATGATGGTAAAAAGTTTGTGTAGAAAAGGAATTTATGTCAGATTGGTTTGTTTATGGGGATAATAGAACAGATTGATAAACTAGTGGATGAATTTCTCATTGACAACACCAGTGGAATGAAGAGCACTACTTACCTGAACATTATAAGTCAGTATTTTCCAGACTTTTTCCTTGGACCATGGTTTTTTAGACTTTTGGGTAGAATTACAAGTGTAATAATTTGCAATATTAATTTAGCAGAGAGCTGTATTGAGAAGTGTCTGTAGGGGTGCCATTGTTGTCCACTAATAATTCTAGCTGGTTTGCTGTCTGTGTCAGTGCCCTTCTAGATTATGTACCTGGAGAATTCATATTGTCAAGGAGGCCAGAACTGATGTGTAAGCCAGTGACTCAAAGTTTTGCAGTCATTGGGTCAGCATAAGAGCCTAGCAGTTATCACTTTCAGAAGGAGAGGTCAGCATGGGCGGTATTTTTCGCAGACCAGGATTGCTTAAACTGTATGTAAATGATTTTTTCAAAGTTATGTAGTGCTGGCAGAGCATTACACTGACATAACGGCCCAGTGCTGACATAACCACTCAGGATTGCAGTCCACTCTAGCACAGCAGACAAAGGGTGGCAGCGCTGCAAGAAATTCAACAGCAGTCTTGCACATTGTCAGCTCTCTTCTGGAAATGAGATAACTGGCTGAGAACTGGTAGGATCAACATATCAAATCAAATCAGAATTATTTCTTTGGAATTTAATGCTAAACTCCAGGTATGATCTTAATCATACAGCTTGGTATAGCTTGGACTAATGTAAGTATGCATATCTCACACCTGAGGGACTGCTGGGGAAGCTGACAATCACTGTAGTAGTCAGCACTACTACAGCGATCACCACGATCTTTAAGGGTTCTGTGCATGTAAGTATGCAATTAGGATCATATCTGGAGTTCAGCTTTGAATCGCTGGTTGCAGTGTATGCAGTTATGAAGCTATGCACATTTAATAAGAACATTTTAATTTTAACCTGGAGTTTCACACTAATAGGTACGTCTTTGATTTTGCTAAGAAATCTGGAAAAAAAAGATCTCTGCTAATAATAGTGGTGGGAATTTATCTAACTTATGCCTGGCTTTCCCGGAAGCTGGCATTCTCCTCTTGGACTACAAGGGTAGTTTTGAATTTTCCCTGTCATTTAGTTTTAAAATCTCTGTTGTGATCTTGAAGAGCTTTGAGAATGAATTACTTCACATTATGCTCAGAGGAATGGGTCATAGATAACTTGTTTTAACGCTCTTTTTTTTGCTTGCTAAGAAAATGTAAAGTGATATTTTAACACCAGGTGCGCTTTGAGACTGACACATGGGTGATTCTATAGCTAGAGATAAATCACCAATGACAGGATCTCTAAAAAGGGTGCCTGTTTGTCCCTATGGAATTGCTCACTTTGTAGCTACACACAGTGAGAAGTCACTCCATCCCTAGCCCAAATGCCGCTGAATCTTGATTGCTAGTTATTGGAGCAACATCTCACTGGCACAACTACAGAGGGAGCAAATTCTGAGGCACAAACTGGCAGCCTATTACCTTCCTACCACGGGCAATTCTGACAAAGTGTCAAGAGTAGGATCGCTAGCACCAGAGACGCCTATGTGTCATCAGCCTAATTGATGGACAGAGATATTGAATTTTCACTGTATACATGTTTAGCAGTGACCTTTACATTTATTGCAGGGGTGTCCAACCTGCAGGCCACATGCAGCCAAAGACATAATTGTAAACGTACATAAAATATTGATTTTTGGGAGGGGGGAGCATTTTTTGTAAAAATGTATTTACACTTAGTGAACACATGCAGACAAAGAAAAATTTGACAGTGTCTATTTATTGGACTTTTAGAAGTTTTATCTTCCCAAAGGAAAATATCCCACTCTTCACAGTCACGCCTTATTCAATAGTCAACAGTTTTCGGGAGCACCTATATAGTGGGGAAAATAATTATTTGATCCCGGTCTATCATTTTTATCATACGTGTATTTTAAATGATAGAGAACAATATCAACCAAAAATGCAGAAAAAACACATGATACAAATGTTATAAATTGAGTTGCAGTTCAGTGAGTAAAATAAGTATTTCATCCCCAAGCAAAACATGACTTAGTACTTGATGGAGAAACCCTTGTAGGCATGCACAGAGGTAAGACATTTCTTGTATTTGGTTACCAGGTTTGCACGTATCTCAGGAGTGATTTTGGTCCACTCTTCTTTACAGATCTTCTCCTTACGTTTTCTTGGCTGTTGCTTGGCAACTAGAGGTTTCACCTCCATCCATAAATTTTCTATAGGATTAAGGTCTGGAGACTGGCTAGGCCACTTCATGAGCTTTAACGTGCTTCTTCTTGAGCCACTCCTTTGTTGCCTTGGTGGTATGTTTTTGGTCATTGTCATGCTGGAAGACCCATCCATGACCCATCTTACGGGTTCTGGCTGAGGGAAGAAGGTTCTCATCCACGATTTTACAATAATGCGGCAAAGTCGGCCTGTATCTTTAGCAGAGAAACAGCCACAAAGCCTAATGTTCCCACCTCCGTGCTTGACTGCAGGGATGGTGTTCTTAGGGTCATAGTGAACATTTTTCTTCCTCCAAACACAGCGAGTCGAGATAATGCCAGAGAGCTCAATTTTTGTCTCATCTGACCACTGCACTTTCTCCCAATCTATCTCTGAATCATTTAGATGTTCGTTGACAAACTTCAGACGGCCTGTATGTGTGCCTTCTTTAAGAGGGGGACCTTGCAGGGTCTGCAGGATTTCAATCCATGGCGGCGTATTGTGTTACCAATGGTTTGTTTGGTGACTGTGGTCCCAACTGCCTTAAGATTATTCACAAGCTCCTCCGTGTAGTTTTGGGCTGATCCCTCACTTTTCTCATGATCATCATCCCATGAGGCGAAATCCTGTATGGAGCTCCAAACCGAGGGCGATTGATGGCTATTTTGTATTTCTTCCATTTGCAAATAATCGCTCCAACAGTAGTCTTCTTCTCACCAAGTTTCTTGTTGATAGTCTTGTAGCCCATTCCAGCCTTGTGCAGGTCTAAAACCTTGTCCCTGACAACTCTTTGACAGCTCTTTGGTCATTTGCCCATGGTGATGAGGTTTGGATGGAAGAAAGAGATTCTGTGGACAGGTGTCTTTTATACACATATCGAGTTGTCATTAGGAGCACCTTCTTAAATTTACAGAACTAATCTGTGTACCACATGAGCACATAGTCAGTCTGTGGGAGCCAGAATTATTGTTGGTTGGTAACTGAATTGATAACATTTGTATCATGTGTTTTTTCTGGATTTTTGGTTAATATTGTGTCTTTATCATTTAAAATACACTTATGATAAAAATTATAGACCCTTAATTTCTTTGTAAGTGGGCAAACTTACAAAATCTGCAGGGGATCAAATAATTATTTTCCCCACTGTATTTGTGAGCAACCATTTATTATTTTCAAGGATGAAGCACACAAAGGGCAAAAGTAGAACCAAAATATCTGATGAGCATCTTGTGAATTAATTGAAAATTGCTGCTACTACATCTATCGAACCAGATATTGGTGCAATGATTTATCAAAAACAATGTCAAATATCGCTCTAGTTTTATGTTGCCCTCTTTTGCTTTTATAATAAACATATTACAAAAAAATGAAGTTTCATTACTCAGATAGGTATATTATCTATATCAGTGATTGTTAACTTGTGATTTGCCCGACTTTTTCTGCTCATCAGCTATCCTTATTGTTAGTGTATTTTATGTGTGATCCAAGACAATTACTCTTATTCCTATATGGCCCAGGAAAGTCAAAAGGTTGGACCCCCCTGATTTAATGCAATAATTGTCTTTGTTTACAGAAATATCAGCATGTTTACAATGAAAATCAACAAGTTAGTTAATACAGTTTTTAGCATTTGACTTTATTCTTATTTGGGAACCTTAGCATTAGCGTCATTCATTGACATTATTTAAGCATTTAAAGTAAATATTTTAAAATAAAGGTACATTTTCTTCTTAATATTATTATGTGTTTTTTCTATTGCGATTTTTCTGTGTACTCTCCTTTTTGCCAAGGCACGAATTTCCTTTATACCTGAATTAAGACCGCTTTTATTTATATAAATAGGATGTGCAAAATACTGATTTCCTGATCCCATTCTGTATGTAGTTTTTTTATTCAGTCAGTCTTTGCAGTTAGAGAATACAACTCCATGTTACCTGTTGAGCTTCCATTGGCTTTGTGTGTCAATGGAGACTTTGTAAACATAGCAGTCATACTCTCTGTTACTGTTTCCAGTGGTGTTGAGAAGCTCTTACAAAACACCTCCCTCTCTCCCTCTGAAGCTTTTTATTTTCTCTTAGTAATAAATCTATCAGTGAGGATAAGGAAGTGGAGTGGACGGACTCCAGACGGGAACACTAGTTCTGTGTCTTTGTTTTTCTATGTAAAGAAATAAAATTGAAAGCGTATTTTAAAAAATGTCCCTGGGGGATAACATTTGAGATCACAAACCCCAGGTTATAATATTACTAACTGTCTGCTGCTTTGGTTTTATATATGAGACATTTTGAGATCCCCTAGTATCGCTGTGTGTAGCTGGTTGTGTCAGTTTGTCCTTTTGCCAGCAGCCAATGGTTTCTGGAGAAGAGGAGGATAGATGACTGAGAATTACCATTTTACAAGATCATGTATGGAAATTTAAAGGCATTCATCATATTTCCACAGATGGTCTTTGTACAAACAAAAAGGCAGTTTATAGTGTTTTTGCTAAGCTAGTAACTTTTTTTAAAGTACCAGTTAAAAAATACGTTTTATATATTTGCAAGTGTTAATTTTTTGTTGGTAATTTAGCATTTATCTTATCCAGAGCTATCTGTGATACTTATTTGTTTGCACTAACAGTTAAATTTTCAGGACAAGTTTTTTGGTGTATGTCTTTATTCTTGGTCCAAACAGTACTAATATGCAAGGCTTGAAAAGTCAGAAACTTTATTTGTATCCCTGCTGGTGCACCTATGTTAAAGGCTATGTTCATCAATGGAACATGTTCCAGCATTTGCACCTTCTCCTCCTGATCCCCCTCCTGTGACAGAGGGTGCGGGGCTCTGCCCACATGGCCATATCGTTCATTCACAGTTTGATGTGAATGAATAGGCTACAAATACTGTCGGTCATCATGGCTTGTAGTTCTTGATGAACTACAAGGGGGCTTGTGAGCGCTCTTGTAGGTCATCGTTCCTCCTGCTCTCAAGTAACTGCTTGCCCATACAAGGCAGACAGCTATCCTGAGAGTCTGCAAGAGCCTGAGATGCTCCCATGATCTGCTGATTGTGGATGCAATGCTCTGCAGGCTCCTTAGAAAAAAAAAAATAATAAATGCACATTTTTTTACCTGCAAAAAAATGTGAATTTATTATTTATTTATTTTTTCAAAAAGGTGAACTTAGCCTTTAAAGGGGTCTTACACTTACAGCCAGGTTATTCATTGATTTTGCCTGTTAGTAAATTGAAAATCCCCTGTTTGGTCTCATAATGACAGCATCTAGGATGAAACAGGACTCTGGCAAGCAGTTTTCCTCTGAGGGCCTGTAGAAATACAAGGAGTTGGTCAGCCCACCATTGGTTGAAAACTAAAACATCAGTCCTAGGTGGTCTTTGCTCCTTTTAAAAATGTATAAAAGTAAAGGGATTTGTCAAAGTCATACAGATTACTTTCTCTGTGGAAGAGAACCATTAAAAGCTTTGCATTGCTGTTTAGATGTTAGATATATTAATAATACGTTTGTTTTAAAATGGATTTTACAGATCGGATTGATGGGGAAGGCTGGGAGACAGTACAGCGAGGAAGGCCTATCCGCTCCAGATCTTCAACTATGACAAACAAGCCTGCTTCTCCTCCAGATGCAGGACTTCCACAGAAGGATGACAGTGACAAAGAGAACATCTGTCTTAAGTCTCCAGAGAATACCAAGAAAGAGACATCAAAGTCAGAACATCTTCCTGTACTTGTGGAACCACCACCTAAGGAGTTACTATGCCCGTGTGAAATACCTCTGACAGAAATCACACAGGTAGGACAATCCACTGCTATATATGTTTTACCAGATTTTTAGATGCAATTCTTTGCAAGTTAACTGTGAAGAACAAAACATATTCTACTTATTAAAAAAATTTAAGTCTTTCTTCCAAGTATGACTATGTCACCATGTTACCAGTGACTTCTTTCTATAGCCTGCACAATAGCTTCTGTTAAAGTACATTAGACACAAACAGGGCTGCCATTATTGAATTGTTACTGAAAAAAAAAAAACGTTATTACTTTGACTCACAGGCCCAGAAGATGCATCCTCAACATTCTCATGAAGAGAAGTCAGGAATGGCAGCATACATCATTGTCTCAGGACAGTCATACTCAAAGCTATACTCACTCCCACATCTCATACAAAAAACGGATACAATGTAGTCTAGAAATATATAAGCATATCTTAAAACAGAAATAATAAATGAACAATAGCGCAGGATCCTCATCAGCATAATCATTCCATATATTTGAGATAAAAAAACGTTGCACACTTACATTTAAAACTCTTTACATCAGCACACGGATAATGTGTACACCATCAGTCTGTATCTATGCAACTGCAGTTGGTATATCTCAAGCTGGCATGAGAAGAATCTTTTCTGACAGCTGTCAAAAGACCACCGAAGCCCAGCATCCTACAGTGCTATGCACTGCCTTGTGATCCCTATGTAATATTGGGAAGAGTGGGTGGTGAATAGGGCATTTTTTGCTGTGATGCTAAGTGTAAGGGTTTCTTCTTCTGCTTGGGCCTAAACAGTAGGTTTTGCTATAAGACCCCAAATGATGTGCTTTCAATAGAACTGTATCAAAATAATATCATCTTTAACATTTTGAGAAGCCCAAAATGTTATGAATGCATGACACTTAGGATTCTAATGTGTTGATTGCACACCTAGGTTTGAAAGCAAAAAAATCTAAATAAAAAGAGTGTCATTGTTGTGCTATAATATAGACAACACTTGCTTGCTGTGTCAACAATTAGCCATGGCCTCGTTCTTCTCTACCTGGAAATCCAGATATTAAGCAATGAATGTTATAAAACTTTTTTTTTTGTTCAATATGTTTTAGTAGTAGATATTTGTTCCAGTTAAATTGGAGAGATTCCTCCATCCACCACATTGTGTGGATGGAGTAATCTGTTTGTTTTATTTTTTACTTTAGCCCACTGGCTGAACAAAAGAAAACCTAATCATCAGCTTGAAGCTGGCCATATGTGGTTTTAAATTCGGCAGGTTCAGAACAAACCATCTATGAAGTATGTGCAGGCTGATTGTACCCATCAATCGACTTGGGTACGACCAGCCTGTCAGATTTTTATTATACAATTACTGCCAGCTGCTATTGCCACTAGAAACAATCATTGTGTCCTGCCGGTCTCGCAGGCTCCTCTCGCCCAGAACTCTTTAGCGCTGCGGGAGACATTCCCCCATTAACACTGACTATGTTGGTGGGGGAATCAAGCAATTTTCTTTCCTTCTTCTGTAGTACAAGGAAAGTAAATCGATTCATTTATGGTTTGCCTAAGTGTGTTGGAATCCTCCAGGGGAAGAAAAATGTCTATTGTTGGGGTAGGTAGATTTTGTTCTGTGATTAGAGAGGTGATGCAGTCCATGTTTATTTTACACCTGGGGGAAAAAAAAAGCAGATATACTTACCTAGCTGCTGCAGCATTGGTCCAATGTTGCAGCTGTTCCAGTCTGGCTCTATGCCGAAGAACCGAGTGATTACATGACTGCTGATCACTCACTTCTTGGGTCCACTCTGAGCAGAGAGCTGTGACTGTCAGTCACCACTCTCTACTCTGCTCTTCCAACGCTCACTGGAGCACCAGGCAGGAGAGGAGGTAGGAGTGGCTGGCTCAGCCTCTCATCAACATGCTGAGGCACTGAGCCAGATGCCTGTACGGCATCTGGGTGGATCCCGACATTATTGCTGAGATCCCCTCAGAGTTTGACAGCAACCATCGGCTGGCTTCAGCCCGCTGTCACCTGATTCTGAGTCACAAGATAGCTCAAGTAAATGCCCTCTTGTGACTCGCAAGAGAAGTATGGCCAAACGAGCTTTGGCCATACGTCTCTCTTACTACTGCATATTAGTTTTTATGGTGCAAATTTAGACTGTATATGTGATGGTAAATTAGTTTCTCAAGGATATCCATTACATAAGAATAACTTGCTCTTGTGGAAGTCTGGGGTTTTAATAGTTATAGTCTGTCATCCCGGACCAGTGTGGAACCATGTCTTTATTTTTACACTGAGGCAAGCACTGGTTAGTGGATGGAATGTCTGGGCCTGGCAGCCACAAGATATTTGCACAGAAAAGCTCCCAGCTGGATAACAACAGCAGTGGAAATTTCTTCTATGAATGATGGACATGTAATGCACAGCCAAAAATTTGTTAGGTTTTAATTTGGCAGCAGATTGCTTAAGAATAAACTGATAGGGAACAAGCAATCAATTTTCATGTAGTTGGCTCAAACCAACGATTAAAGCTGTACAGTAGGCAGTATGTGGTAATTGCAAGAGAGAAGCTAGGTAATGGAGTCGGCAGTGTGACTGGAAGAGGGTCAGGCAGGACAGTGTGAACTGGCTTTTCATATTTCTTCATTATAGGACAGCTATATCATTAGCTGTCTTTTTGTTCTAAAACAATGTTTAGCCAATATCATTCTATATGCAGTAATAAATATTTTACATGTTGTTTTGATTCATTTATTTCTCTTTCATGCACTAACAACAATGGAAAATCCTGAGCAACCATGAGGACAGGGTTTGAATGCTTCACCACCTATCTATACTCATTATTTAGATCAGATTCCAATTGTATCTCCCTTTACTTTTAAAATTGCTGTTTAATAATGGTTCTGTTATGATGCTGGTCACTTGTATAAGGTTGATTATTATTATTCAGGATTTATATGGCGCCAACAGTTTGCTCAGCACTTTACAATATAATGGAGACAATACAGCAATAATACAGTTCAATACAAGCGGGTTAGGGGGGCCCTGATCCTTGGAGCTTACAATCTAAGAGATGTGTGCAGTAGCCATTCCTTCTGTCTTGCTTTAGTGTAGGGTTTGTGTATATAGGCATTTGTTTAATTTATTCCCCATACAAGTCAATGGGAATGCAAATACAACCTTAGGGACAGCCACTCACAACCTTTATTCTCCCCAAGGTCAAATTAGAGCCTATACACAGGCTTTATTTAGTGTCATAACTTCCCATACAAGTCAGCAGGAATGAAAAGCTTAGAAGGAAGTCAGCTACAGGACAAATGTACCCAAGAATTAATTCTGAATGATCTCAGAAATGTCTGAAACTGATCCCAAATACAAGATGAACACACCTAAATACAAAGCAGCATTTTTGACATTAGGCATTCCACAGTGCTTTACCTTGTGGATTTGCATAGATTTGTGTTTCTCAGTTGGTCACTGGTGGATTTGATATAACATTGACGTTGAAGACTTTAGATATTTCATTATACCTCCTAACAGCCTGTTCACATCTGTGAAGTGTCTTCAGGTGCGTTTTACAAGCACTTATAGGTGCCTCACCATTGAACTCTGCATAGCATGCAGTTTGATGAAAGCTCACCAAAGATGCAGCAAGCAGAATTGTTTTAACGCACCGCAACTACAGTGCATTTAAAATACATAGGTGTGTAGAGGGCCTTATACTTTGCCTGCTTACTTGTGAACAGTCTGAGAATTACATTATTTTAGTGCAAATAATGTTTACGTACACATTTTGGATTTAAACCACTGTAACACCATTGTGTGGCAAGGGTTTCAGCATGCCCGCTGGATATTTAGATAAACATTAACCAGTTTTAAATATTTGACTGATTAATGTATACTGGCCTGCACCTTACGGCCTATGTCACTTGCTCTGTCCATGGTACTAATATGAACAGGTCTATTTCTTTTCATGGAATAAAAACTGGATTAACTGGAAATACAGCATAAAAATACAGTTAAAGTTTATTATAACATATACATACTGTAAATATTTTAAAGAGTATGTAAACCCAGCATTTCATATTCCTGATATGTGCCTGCTGTATCGTACTTTTATGAAAACGTATCCTGTTCTCTTTGTGTTGCTTCCTTTGTGTGAAATCCCTGGTGTCCTGCCAGTCCCTCTGCTTTCATTTTCAAAACTGACCACACTAGGCATGAGAGCACAGTTCTCTAGCTGTGCTGGGAACTCTGTGTGCTCTCCTCCAATGATCAGACTTGTCTTGACACCCCACCCCTGCACAACTATTCACTGGGAAGATCAATGTTCTGCTATTTCTTCTCCCCTAGCTAGCTCTTATGTAGCTGAGAACAGAGGATATGTTATCACTTATAGAAAAGGGGGAAAACATTTTTATAATGTTTTTTTTTTATATGTACAGTGGGGCAAAAAAGTATTTAGTCAGCCACCAATTGTGCAAGTTCTCCCACTTAAAAAGATGAGAGCAGCCTGTAATTGGCATCATAGGTAGACCTCAACTATGAGAGACAAAATAAGAAAACAAAATCCAGACAATCACATTGGCTGATTTGGAAAGAATTTATTTGCAAATTATGGTGGAAAATAAGTATTTGGTCAATATCAAAAGTTCATCTCAATACTCTGTTATATATCCTTTGTTGGCAATGACAGAGGTCAAACGTTTCCTGTAAGTCTTCACAAGGTTGGCACACACTGTTGCTGCTATGTTGGCCCATTCCTCCATGCAGATCTCCTCTAGAGCAGTGATGTTTTGGGGCTGTAGCTGGGCAACACGGACTTTCAACTCCCTCCAAAGGTTTTCTATGGGGTTGAGATCTGGAGACTGGCTAGGCCACTCCAGGACCTTGAAATGCTTCTTACGAAGCCACTCCTTCGTTGCCCGGGTGGTATGTTTGGGATCATTGTCATGTTGGAAGACCTAGCCACCTTTCATCTTCAATGCCCTTGCTGATGGAGGAGGTTTGCACTCAAAATCTCACGATA